CAGAGTCTAAAGTCTTAGCATAATTAATAAAGCACAGGTTAACATCTTTCTGGTAGTCTCTGCTTTTAACCAAGCTTCCTCTGACGTCAGCTATGATATTTCTCGTTCTACGGCCTCTTCTGAATCTGCCTTTGAACCTCTGAAAGTTCCCTGTTGATGTACCGTTTCAGCCATTTTTGAGTTATCTTCAGCCAAATTTTGCTTGTATGTGATATTGTCCAATGATTTCCGCATTCCATTGGGTCACCTCTCTGTAGAATGGGCACAAATATGGATCTCTTTCAATCAGTTGCTTATGTAGCTATCTTCCAAATTTATTGGCATAGATGAATAAGCACCACCAGTGCTTCCTCAGTTAGTTGAAAGATTTCAGTTTTTATACTGTGAATTCCTGGAGCCTTGTTTTGCACTAATGCCTCAGTGCAGCTAGGATGTCTTCCTTCAGTACCATCAGTTCTTGATCATATGCTACCTTTTGAAATGGCTGAACATCAGCCATTTTGTTTTGGTACAGTGAATGTGTATTTCTTCCATCTTATTTTGATACATTCTGCATCATTCTGCATCATTCAATACTTTGCCCAGATAATTCTTGAATATTGCAACTCAAGGCTTTAATTTTTTTTTTTTTCTTCTTCAGTTCTTTCAGCAGGAGAACTTTTCCACATTTTATTATAGTACTTAACTTTTTCACACTTTATTATAGTACTTAACTTTGTCTTATTGAACTGCCCTTTGACATTTTCTTTTCAGCTCTTTTACCTCCTCATTTCTTCCACTTGCTATAACATCTTTGCACTGGAGAGCAAGTTTCAGAGTCTCTTCTGACATCCATTTTGGTCTTTTCCTTCTTTCTTGTCTTCTTAATGACCTTTTGCTTTCTTCTTGCATGATGTTCTTGATGTCATCGCACAACTCCTCTGGTCTTCGGTCATTATCATCTAATACATCAACTCTGTTCTTGAGGTGGTCTCTAAATTCAGGTGGGATATGTTCTACATCATATATTTTGACTCTTGTGAACTTGTTTTAATTTTCTTCATCTTTGGCCTGAATTTGCATATGATCAATTGATGGTCTGTTCCAGGTTATACATTTATTGTTTTGGCTGATGATACTGAGTCTTTCCACCATCTCTTTCCACAGATGTAGTCAATTTCATTTCTGTGTATTCCATCTGGTGAGGTCCATCCATGTCTATTATGTTGTTTAAAAAAGCCATTTGTAATGAATAAGACATTGGCCTTGCAAAATTCTCTCATGTGATCTCCAGCATCATTTCTATCATCAAGGCCATATTTTCCAACTACTGCTCTTTCCTCTTTGTTTCCAACCTTTGCATTCCAATCGCTAGTAATGATCAATACATCTTGATTGCATGTTTGCTCAATTTCAGACTGAAGAAATTGGTAGAATTCTTCAATTTCATATCACTGGCTTTAGTGGTTGGTGCATAAGTTTGAATAATAATGGCATTAATTGGTCTTCCTTGTAGGAGTATGGATGTTCTCCTATCACAGACATCATTGTACTTCAAGATAGATCTTGGTATTTGTAGATGAGTATTTATCTTTACTGCAAACACAACTATGAATGTGGTGTAGGCAAAATGATGTAAACTTCTTAGATATTACCAAACATTTTAAGCAATGAGTTGCTTCACCTGGGGGCTCAGGACCATAGTCTCAGGGGACACCATGCTCTACTAGTATAACATAATCCACCAAGACAATATTCTACATCCTACTTTGGTGAATAATGTCTGTGATCTTGAAAGCTAATGAGCGGATATCTAAGGTGCAAAGATTGGTCTCTCCATGTGTGGAAGAAAGAAAAGTGAATTGAAGAGGCTTGGAATCAATTAGTCCAATCACATAATGGAACATGTGAACATCAGTCGCCATGATTCTGAGACCAGAAGAATTAGACAGTGCCTGGTTACCACTACCAACTGCTCTGAAAGGGATCATATTAGAGGGTCCCTGGATAGAGTGGGAAAAAATATGGAACAAAACTCAAAATTATTTAAAAAAAAAACAAAAACAAAAATACTGGTTTTACATGTCAGAAAGAGACTGGAGGAACCTGGGACTATAGAGCTTGACCACCCTTCAGGTCTGGAAAGGAACTCAACTTCATGGCCCAGTTTTCAACCAAGCAGTAGATAGGTATACAGGGGGACCAACAAGGTCTGCTCATGGAATGGCCGATCATTCAGAAGCCAAAGGGCAACATTTTCCTTAGGACAAAGCTGAGAAGGGATGGGAAGGATGCAAATAGGTACCCCAGGAAGGAAGCAAAAAAGCTGTTGTTACATGGAGAGGAAACAGTCACTGAGATGAAACAAAGTGCATATAAGACAGATGATCTTGTCTGTAAACCTGTACTCAATTCACACAAAAAAGTTTTAAAAAACAAAATTATAAACAGGAAAGAAACAAAAACAAAACCCAAAATCTTGATATGTTCTTTTTCACCATTCCTCTTCAATTTGTCATTCCCGGCATAGTAAACCATGTGGTTGTCAGATTCAGAATGGCCAATACCAGTCCATTTCAGCTCACTAATGCCTAGGTTATAGATCTGTATGTGTTCCACTTCATTTCGGACACTTTCCAGACATTCCATGTTCTCATTATTAATGGTTGTTTACAGCCCTTTTCTCCTCATTTCCAGTTGTGCCCCATTAGCAAATGAAAGTCCCCAAAGCTTTACTCCATTCGTGTCATCACAGTTAGCTCTAATTTGAGGACACAGCTCTTCCTCAGTCACATTTTAAGTGCTTTCCAACCTGAGGGGCTCATTTTCCAGCACTATATTTGACAATATTCTGGTGCTATCCATAACATTTTCATCATCAGGCACGATATCTGACACTGTTCTGCTGCTGTTCATAAGGTTTTCAGTGGCTAAACCTTCAGAAGGAGTCCGCCTCTCCTTTTTCCTAGTCTGTCTTAGCCTGGAAACTCCACTGAAACCTGCCCACCGTGGGTGACCCTGCTGGTATTTAAAGTACTGGTGGCATAACTTCTGGCATCACAGTAAGATACAAGTCACCAAAGTGTGACAAACTGACAGATAGGTGGTGCAATAGGATGCATACATATATATACGGAGCACTCTGGTAGCGTAGTGGTTACGAATCGGGCTGCGAACCTCAAGGTCAGCAGTTGGAAACTACCAGCTGTTCTGCTGGAGAAAGATGAGGCTTTCTGCTCCCGTAAAGATTTACAGCCTCGGAAACCCTGTACAGGATCACTATGAGTCGGAACCGACTCCACGGCACATAACCACCACCACCACCAGGTAGCGTGTGGTTATGGGTTGGACTATTAATCTCAAGGTCAAGGTCAGCAGTTCATAAAGCTTTAGGAAAGCAGAAGCTTTCATCTTTCTCACGTGGAACAGCTGGTAGTTTCAAACTACCGACGTTGAGGTTAGCAGCCCAATTCGTAACCACTACACTACCAGAGCTCCTTTATATATATGTGTGTGTGTGTATATATATGTATATATATATAGTTGTTGTTGTTGTTGTTAAGTGCCTTCGAGTCGGTTCCAACCCATAGCGACCCTGTCCAGGGTTTCCAAGGCTGTAAATCTTTA